ACATCTACATAGTAATGACCACATTCATCTTTATTTGAAGATCATGTCATGTAAAAGTATCTCGCCGTGTAAACCTCTAACACTGTTGGAGTAGTGATAGTGGTTGCTAGGCCAAGAGAAGAGAAGATAAAGATAGGGAAAGGGACTATTTATAGAGTATTGGAGTTGGAAGTGTTTTTTGTTTAGGGACAGTTTGAAGCAGTCATAAGAGGTAATGGAGGTTATATCTGGAGGCAAGTTATTCCAGTCTACTATTGTCCGAGGGAAAAAGGATTGTTGTCGTATCTGTGTTCTACATGAGAGTGTTTGATATGAGTTCTGGTGTGCGTGTCTTGTGTGGCGGGATGGAGGTATGAGTTGGTCTTTTCTTATTTTGACTTAGTCATTGTGTTTTATGTAGTGTTGTCAGTCGCATGACTCTCCTTCTGTCTTCAAGTGATTGCCAGTTAAGGTTATGTTGAAGCATGTCACCAACACTGGAGGTGTTTCTAAATTTGTTGGTGACTAATTATCTGGCTGCTCTTTGCTGCACCATTTCTATTTTGTTCATATCGGTTTTAGTATATAAGGGTCCCAAACTGAGCAGGCATATTCTAGGGATGGTCTGACAAGTGTTTTATATGCCTGCTTCTTGACAGATGTAGAGTTTATCTTAAGATTTCGTCTGAGAAAGCCTAAGGTGGAGTTGGCTTTCCCACAGATGTTATTTATATGACATTCCCACCTGAGATTTGACCGTATAGTAACACCTAAATATTTTGCTTTGTCTTCGTGTTGTAATTCCTTTTCGTACAGCATGTATTTGTGATGTTTTGGGTGTTTGTTGTTGGTGATGGAAAGGACGTTACATCTGTCAGGATGGAAGGACATTTCCCATGCTATCTCCCATAGAGCTAGTTTGTCTAAATCTTGTTTTAATTGCTGGGCATCAGATGGTGATTTGATAGTAAGATAGACAATGGTGTCATCTGCAAATAGACATACATTGGAGTGAAGGCCAACAGGAATGTCGTTTATACATTGTATATAAAATAGAAAGAGGGATGGCCCCCCTCAACCATGACAGCCTGCTTCCTGGAAGTTTTCTATCCAGGTGTTAACCTTCTCATTCACACCATAATGACGAAGCTTATGACAAAGAAGCGAATGACTAACCTTGTCAAAAGTTTTGGAAAAATCCATAATCAAGTCGTCAGTTTGTTTGCCCTTGTCTATGTTGGAGCTGACATCATCAAAAAATTCAATGAGCTGACTCTCAGATGATACTGACCTTCGAAAACCGTGTTGGAGTGGGTTTGTCAGCGTGGTTCATGATGTTACTGACCACTATGTGTTCTAGAAGTTTGCTACAAATATGTGAGAGAGATTGGCCCGTAATTTTCTGGATTTATTTCAGAGCCCTTTTTCTAGACAGGAGAGACATGTGCTAACGTCCAATCAGAGGGAACTGTGCCAGAAAGAAGAGATTCATTAAAGATGATAGAGAGGACAGGGGCAATTTTAGAAGAGAGTTCTTTCAAATTTTGCAGTAATTTTTGTACACCAATACTACCCAATACTCGGGGAAACTCGGGCTACCTTCTCCCTTGATGTTCTGTGGAGCCTAAGTTAGTCAGTAGATATGAGTGTCTGTGTTTTTGGTGACACTACTCTCCTTCCTGTTATACTGACATTGTTTGTATAAGAATACGAAATATTAAAAAATATGTTGCTGTATAGCATTTGAATTTTTGCTACATTTTGAAATATTTTTTATAATTGTTATGATACTCTTTAAACTCAAGTGTGCATAATGTCGTTTTATGAGGCCACTGTAATTAGCCATTCTGGAATTTAGCCAACATGTGCAACTTTCTGTGCTTTGTCACTAAACTTTGAAAAGTATGGACCCACTTTAATTAACATGTCCCTTTATTTTGTCAGTCAACCATGAATTCCGAGCATAACAAGGCTAAGGTTGATGTTAAAGGAAACCTTAATGGTTTGCATGCCAGACAAGATCAAGTTAAAACGTACGTTACTGGAAATCTTACTTCAGAACCAGAAAATGGAGACCAAATATCCTCAAATATTGGAGGTAAGTACCAATGACCAAGTGTAACATGTACTAATGTTACTCAATCCTCCAATTGTGATTTCACCAATATAAGTAATAGGCACTTTCTTAGAGTCATATTAGAATTTTTAGGTAAATTTTTAATGGGATATAAAATTATTCATTACCAAAACAAAATAACCCAACATAAAGAACAGTTCTTACTGAAATCAATGAATCATATAGGAAATCAATTTAACTATCTTTTCTGAAAATAATCTTTATTGTTTTTGTTTTCATTTCTTGTAAATCTATATTGTTAAACATGGTTCACAGGTAAGCTATGATTTCTTTCCTTGGGATATGTGCAAGTTGAGAAATTAAACTAACTAAATTTCCAAAGTGACCTGCAAGATTTTAAAAAGTTCTAATTTAAAAAATAAAAATAAAAAAATGCTATATAAGACTTTATAATGTCTAAAGATTTTTTTTAATTTTTATTTATTTTTTCTTTGCTTTCAGAACCTGACCCGCCCGTTTTGTCTGCAGAAGGTTTGTTCAAATCAATAATATAAAAAATAGAAAATAAAAAAAAGAGTCAACGTTTTTATGGCAAATACTAGAAATAGCTATATACGCTTTCCAGGTTATTCACCAGAAAAACACAGTTTTAGTTCACTAAAGCCCTTTCTTTTTCACCTGGCCAAAAGCGCAAAGTGAGCTTATGTTATTGTGCAACGTCTGTCGTCTATCGTCCCTCTGTCCGTTGCAGACTTTTCTTTTAAATGGTTTCTTCTAATTATAAAGAACCAAAAAACATAGTCATGATATTTGGCTGGTAGCTTCCTTTGACAGAGCCAGAGAAAGTTTGTGAAAAAATTACCTTGATTAAATTTCAAAGTCATACAGGTCAAATATATGTTAAAAACCTCAAATGACTTACCCGTATTCTAAAAAATTAAAAAGAATATACCAGGTAATCATGATATATAGTTGGCTGGTAGCTTCCTTTGGTGGGTTCCAAGAAAGTTCCAAACAAAAATGTCAAAAACTTCAGACGACTTCTTGTGAAAAACTGAAAGGCCTAGAATCATGATTTGTGGCTGATTGTTTCCTTGGATCGATAGAGCCCAGCAAACTTTGAGAACAAAAACCTTGGCCTACTTTCAAGGTCACAGAAGTCAAATATGTGAAAAAATTTCAAACAATTTATTTGGGAGAACCAAAAGGCACAGAATCATGATATCCGGTAGCTGCAAAGGTTGTGAATAAAATTGACCTTTACCAATTTCCAAGGTCACAGAGGTGAAATATGTCCGAAACTTCAAATGATTTCTTCTGAAGAAAGTAAATATCTAGAATCAGGATATTAAGCGGGTAGCTTCTCTTGATGGGGTCTAATAAAGTTTTGGACCAAAAACGACTTTTACCTATTCAAAGGGCAGATATAGATCGAAACTGTAAACAACTTAATCTGAAAAACTGTAAATGCTTAGAATCAAAATATCTCACGCATGTAGCTTCCTGGGTTGTAGCAGAGCAAAGTTTGCAAAGAAAATTACATTGACACATTTTCAAGGTCACCAGGATCAAGAATATGTCGAAAACTTCAAACAGCTTCTTCTGAAAAACTGAAAGCTCCTGACATTGGCTTAAATTTCCCTTGAATTGAGCCTGGCACAGTTTGCAAAATAAAAATGACCCTGAACTACTCCTTCAGTTGTAACATGGACATGCACATTTGATATCCCCTTCCTATAACCCACACTTGCTAGGCTTGAAGAGACAAATTCATTCATGCTACCAGGATTTGAATTCATGTCCTTAGTGTCAAAACTGCCCCTAGGGATTATTCCTTGCTACAGCTTATATTTTTGCTATATTTAATAAAAATGTACAATAGTCATCAGGTTTTGAATTAAAATAGAAAATTCCAGGTGAGCTATCAATTAAGGCCTGTGTGCCTCTTATTATTTATAAATAAAAATGTCCGGAGAATTACCATTAACATTTCCAAACAGAGGTCTTCAGTGATAAGTTTTTTAAATCATGTAAAGTGAAATTGAGTTTCATTTCAGTAATAATTACCATAACTTTAGTATGCATATACAATACCTACACCCATCTTTGTAGCCCAAAAACAAAAGATTCAAATATCCCTACCTCCCTACCGTGACGTAACCCATATCTCGATGACAGAGCCACGGAGTGATCTCCCTTCCTCTTCCTTTTATGGCGCCTGCTGCATGCTGACGCACGGAGCTTGCTCCAATTCAAAACTTTGTTTTGTCGGTTTGGTTTGAGTGTCAACTCATATTTTTGCGCAGTTTGTGTGCCTTTTACCCATCTGCCCTTATTGATATAACTAATTGTTGTTGAAAATTATTTTTGTGCCTTTTACGGCCGGTTATTTTACTCCACGTGTGCCGGTGGTGTGCCACGGTCCGCCATTATCGTGGGTTAATTTCCGACCTCTGTTTATTTCGGTGACGGTTGTTTGTTTCGGCAAACGTTATTTATTTTAACCGTTTTCTGATTTATATTACGGGTGAAATTCTTTCTACGTTGCGTACTTTGTACTATCGTATTTTATCCTTATTTTCCCGTTTTATCTGCTTGTAAATTTTTTGTTTACGTTCGCTTTGGAGGGTATGTCTCGGTCGGGACAGCGACGAGGTAGTGCTCATGGGTGTTCCCATTTCTTTGTGGAACGGGACCCTCATGATGCCTGTCCCAGGTGTCGTCCTTGCAGTGAGGTTTCGCCTTGTGAACTTTGTTCACAGTCAAAATCTCAGGGCAAGGACTTCATTGTTCCAAAGCTACCCTCAACTTACCGTAAGACAGATTCGTCTGTTTCTTCCGGTAAGCGAGGGAAGCAGAGAGGTAGGGGTCGTGCCACCAGCTCTCTGGGGTCTGGTGGTACTGTCTCTGTTCCTGTCTCGGGGGGTCTTGCTTCGGCAAGTCCCTCTCGTGAGCAGGGGGTGGCCCTTCCTGTCCAGGAACTCCCTGGAGTAGGGGAGGGGCAGCCTGACCCTGGCTTGGCACAGCCAAGGGTCGAATTGGCCGGGAACGCCCGTAAGCTTTCGCGCTTGCCTTCGGGTAGGGACTACCGGCCGCCGGTCACTGACTCTGTCAGTGATCCCGGCATTCCAGGTGGTGCGGTCGTTGGGGACAGTCTTGGTGCCGGGCCTGTTCTTTCGGGTTCAGGTCCTGGTGTGACAACAGACTTTCTTTCGGGATTGTCTGTGTCTACCGGGATTAGTGACGCGCAGCTCACTAATCCCGGCATCAATGCTGGTCAGGCATACCCTCCCGGTCAGTTACCCGGACCCGGTCCTATTAGGTCCGGTCCCGAGTTTCATTCTTCTGGGAACCTGGGGGGTTTCCCCCCAGGGGTTGGGTTTGCTGGACAGGGGGCCGGTTTCCGGCCTCCGTTTTCCCCTGGCTTAGGGTATACGGGTGCCTGCGGGCAACCATCCTTGGGCCGCCCTTACCAGCCTGCGGATGGTTTTGGGTTGCGACAGCATCCCGGCAGTTACGGGCTTAGCCCGTACATGTCCGGGTTTCCACCTGGAGGGAGTGGCGGTCCACCTTCGCCCTTTGGGCAAGTTGGCCAGCCCCAGTCTCAGGCAGGCCAGTTTGGCCAGTTCTGGGGTCACTCCCAGCCCGCGGGACCTTTCCCCTATCCTCCGGGATATGGGTTTAACCCCATGGCATTTCCGTCATGGAATCCTTGGGGTTTGGTCTCTCCCTCGCGGAGACGTGTTAGCAGTTCTGTTGACCCCCCCCAACTTTCTGCTACTTCGGGGGCCTTATCGGCCGGTCCTAAGAAGGTGTGTCGGACCTTTAGGACTTCTGCCTCTCGGGCAGGCTCGTTGGTCTCTGGGTCCAAGGGTAGGGTTTTGGCTACTAAGCCTAAACCTACAGCCACGGCCGTTAGGCGCACTGCACCTAAACGCCGGTACGGGGAGCCTTCTCTCGGGTTGGCCCCTCTGGCTGGCCCATTTCCTCCGCCCCAGGCTTCTGGTCTGGATGGTGTGGAGGCTATGGACGTTGAGGGCGCGGGTATGGCAGAGGACAATGATGTTGTTCATCTTTCACCTGGTTGTTCGGATATAGACGCTGGTCTTTCCGAGTCGTCTGACGACAGTCCTCAGGAGGGCTTGCCCTCAGAGGAGGACTTCCAGGATGAGGGAGACCCTGAGGCTGCTGAGGTTGAGGCCCAGCATGTGTTATCCGGTATGCGGGGCCTTAGGGCTGACGTTTCCCGGATTCTTGGGGAGGAGGTTTGCCCACCACCTTCGGCATCATCTGTCCCCGAGTCCACCACCCTTTTGGGTTCTTTGGTGGCTCCTCGGGTGTCCGCTCGGTCGGACCGCTCTCTGCCAGAAGGCACCATTGTGTCTTCAGCTCTGGCCACCGCCCAGTCTCGGGTTTTAGGGAAGAATTCTTCTTCAACCCGTAGTCCTGGGTATGCTGGGTTGCAGCTCAGTGTTGGCGATTTGTCAGAGGTGCACGCCACTGACTATGCCACACATGATGGTCTGCTTGCCCCTCAACCAGCTAAGCTGGAATCGAGGGAACTTGCAGCTTGGCCCGGTAAATCGGTGGACCAGGTGGTGTTCGGTCCCAAAGAACACCACAAGATGGAGAGACTGCTGCGTCTCTCCATCCAGATTCTGTCGTATATAGACTACTTGACGGTTTGTCTATATAGGGTATCCGACTTGCCTGAGGGTCGGATTACCGAGACAGAGCAGGCCGACATCCAGGACAGAGTGACCTCTGCCCTGAACGGGGCATTGAGAGCGCTGGCAGCTTTACAGGTGTCATCCCTCGTCAATGTCTTGTTGGCTAGGCGGTTTTCAGTTTTGAAAAATCGCCCGGTCGATGAGCCTTACCGTTCCAGACTGTTGACTGCCCCCTTCTCAGGGTCCACTCTTTTTGGAGGGGCCCTTCCTTCTGTTCAGAAGGATTTGAAGGAGGACTCGGTCGCCTCTGCACTTCTGGTGAAGAGGATTCAGGCTGAGAAGGCCAGTACCTCGCAGGGGTCAGCGCCTCCTAAGAAGAAGGCTAAACCTTCGGCTTCGCAGTCCTCTGCGCAGCCCAAGTATAAGCCTCCCTTCAAGGGCAACAAATGGAAGGGTAAGAAGGGTAAGAACCCTCCTGGGGGTAAGAAGAAGGGTTCCTGACTCTTTTCTTCCCTCCTTGGTCGTGTCAGACGACGAGTTTGGCCGGGAGGAATGCAGTCCTCTCGGCTCAAGCTTAGGTCCTTCTCCCGCAGGATTAGGCTTCGGGTCAGCAGACGATTCTCTTGCCTGGCAAGGTCTCGATCTGCCTCGACCAGATCTTCCTGTGGGGGGTCGTCTTTCTGCTTTCCTTCCAGAGTGGAAGGAAATTACGGAAGACGCATGGACCTTGTCTGTGATCAAGGAGGGGTTAGGCATTCCGCTAGTGCGGGATCCGCCCTTAGCGTCAGAGCCAATCTTTTTTCCTCCACCGGGGGATCCGGAAAAGGCTCTGGCGCTCCAGGAGGAAGTAAGGACCATGCTTTCCAAGGGCGCGGTCGAGGAGGTTCCTATGTCGGGATGCACTCCCGGGTTCTACTCCAGAATGTTTCTGGTTCGGAAGAAGTCCGGGGCGTGGCGTCCCATCATAGATCTAAGTGCCTTCAACAAGCACGTAGATTCTCCTCACTTCAAGATGGAGACTCCTCGGGGTATTATCGCCTCCGTGAGAGAGGGAATGTGGGCGACTTCAGTAGATCTAAAGGACGCCTACTTCCACATCCCCATCAAGAAGTCGGCACGGAAGTACCTCCGTTTTACTTGCAACGGAAAGGTCTTCCAGTTCCGGGCCATGCCGTTCGGGCTCACGACTACACCTTTAGTTTTCACCAAGCTGCTGCAGGTGGTCGTGGGATTCCTGCACTCTCGAGGAATAGATGTTCACATCTATTTCGACAACTCCCTCATGCTCCACCTAGTGAGAGAGTCTCTGGTGCAGGTCACCCGGTTGGTTCTGAAACTCTTACTCAAGGTCGGCTTCATTCCTTCCAGAGAAAAGTCGGAGGTTTCCCCATCTCAGGATTTTGTTTTTCTGGGGAACCGTTTCAATACGGTTCAGGG